GGTCTCATCCATGTACGTGTGCAAAGGTGGAGGGAGTGGCTATGTGGATGTATGTTTATAACTGTCTGGAAGGTCACAAAGGAAACCCAAAATAGTGGTTGTCTCTTGGAAAGGAAATGAGAGACAAGGAATTGGAGGAACTGTCTCTGTAGGCGTTTTTCATATTTTGAATTTTAAAAATGTTTAATCTATTTCAACATCTTGTCTGTTGAAATAAAAATAAAAATGAAAACAAAGAAACATTTCAGGGAACACTCTACCTGGTCATTACAAAGGACAGCTCAACAACCTCTCTGTAGGTCCCCTTGACAGGTCTTGATCTCCTCCTCCCAGTCAATTCCTACTCAGGCTCCTGTCTAAACCCCAAGGTGAACTCCCCACTGAAGTCTCCTCTGGTTACTTCTAGCAGAATCATTCCATCCTGTGTTCTTACAATCTGTGAAGATGTTTAGAAGTGGCTTTGTGCTATGGCTTTCTATCTGCTCCATCACCAGAAAGCAGGGGTGGGTAGGGGGGGGGGAGTCACGATAAAGACATAACTTTGGTTTCATTGTTGTATTGAGACAGGTGCATTTCATTTATGACCCAGTTCAAGGCCTAAAATACTGATGATTCTCAAGGGAAGGCTGATGAGAGAATATCTCCAGACCCCTCTTGTCCTCTAACTCAATATATACACATTTAGCTTCAAACTGTGCCYAGAATCCGTTAGGTCACCTTTAAAACTCAAGATTTAGGCCATACCAAAACAATGACAATATGAATTGCTTTCCAACTACCACCCATGTACTTTGGTCCAAGACTGAAAGTCAAAGTTCAAACRAATTAGAAAAGTCATATTGATCAATAGGAGGCACGGGGGTGTGGCACATGAGAGTGGAATCTCTGCTTCCTCTTTCCATAGTTAATTATGTGGCCATCAGCAACTGCTCTCACCTCTGAACTTTAGTGTCCTCATCTATAAAAAATAAAATAAAAAAAAAAATCATGGCCACTGCATGTAACAATCAAATTTTGGGTGACATCCAACAAGACAGTAACTGTAAAGCATGAGGTCCCGTGCCTGCCACACMGCTTTGCTTAACAGGTATCAGTACCGTCGTTAATATTGGGAGGGATCTCTGTTCTCTGCCCATCGTTCKTTAAAGAAAGTAAGATCAGAGAAGCATAACGTTGGCTGAGGTATTTCCTTTCATATTGATCTCAGGCAGCGGCAGGATATTCACATGCTTGGCATGGAAGAATTTCATGCAACTGTCCATTGAAGATGGTAGTCACAGTTACATTACTCATTGAAGATCTGCAATGGATGGTCACCAAGAGCACTGAGCAACTGTTTATGATTCTAGTGACACTAGCTACAGATGACCTGGCCTCCTTCTCCACAGTGGCCTACATCCCAAAATAGGAAAWGTGTATTTGCAGACAGTCCCAGCAGGTCCAGAGGCTTACAAAGCAGACTRCCAACACTTCAAACTGTCAGAGGCAACATAGAGCCTCATGGATTTCCTAGCACAGGTGAGCTGCCCCAAACAGYTTCGGGGATTGACTTCTATGCAAATGAGAGATAACTGGGTGACCTATGACCAGGAGCCCCAGCTGATTATTACTCATCAGGGTGTCAATGTGTGCACCTTCTTCTTTTGCAAAGGGCACATCCCTTTTACTTCTCCAAGACCCATTCATATCTGGGCTCTAGTGCCCTACTAGAAACCCAGCAAGGTTGCAGGGCTGAGATCTGTCCTGTAGCTACCCAGGTAATTCCTCCACTGCTCTGAGAAGGTACCTAAGTGAGACAGGTATGCCAGGAATGGAAATTCACGTTCAATTTGATTTTCCTGCAAGTCAGGGAGAAAGCTGACTSTGTGAACCCAAGCCACTTCACCAGGATTTGCTAAGTCTTATTTCCTTCCACTTGGAGTCTGGCTGCTGGATACAGTGCCACTTACATGCAGACTCCTTAGGACTAGGGAGTTTTTAGGAAAAGTGTCTTTTCATTCCTATGCCTATATCACAGGGACCTGATCATGAAACACTKGCATCCTGAACTCACTGGGTATCAAGAATGAGTCTTGAGCTAAAGYTGTTGATAAGTTCTGTTTTGTTATTTCCAGACCTAAAACTAAGATGATCATCGTGAATGAGCCTTCTCTTCCCCCACGTCACAATATTCCTCTCCTTAAAACAAGAATCCCATCCCCAAGATGAAAGCACTATTCTGTCTGTATCATGCTGTTGTTTGTTTGCTTCTGTTTTTTAAGGATGACTGTGGCCAGCAGCTCTGGGTCACAATACCTATTCCACAGGCATTGGAATATTTGACTTCCTCTTCTTGGAACAAAAGCTACGCAAAGTTCTTCAAAATAGGCTATTCTTAATTTCTAGTTGAAAAAAAAAATCTAACAGATKTCCTAGAAGTGAAATTAAATTCAAGTATTTTCTATTTAACTTTTGACTCTGTTTCATTGCTACCTCATTCTAATTGTCCCTATTATCTAGAAAAATCAGAAATGTCACTCTCACCTCCTATTGAAGAATTGAAAGGGCGGATGCARTGAAGAGACCCATTTAGCTTGGCAGAAATGAGATGATCATCATTCACAGACATACCCACGAGAGAGACACGTTTTTGCCTGCTGAACCAGGTTTCAAAGCAAATGACCAAAAATYATGCACATGGGAGAAAAGTGGACTCTACAACTTCCAAATCAGGCTGATGCATTTGCAAGGAGGGGTAGATCTGCTTTCACAACAAATGTTTTCATTCATTGGATTTTCTCCTAACAACTACTGACCAGAGAGAGCATGGGAGAAAATGCTGGGATCTCCCAATGTTGAGGTTGTCTCCCCAAACAGACCCTCATYGATATATGATCAATATATGAGTATCTGGGACATCTCCAAAAATCAATGGGTCTAGTCGCAGCTGATGCCCATCTCTTTAACAATAGCTTGTGTGGACTGCGGAAAAGACCTCTGGCCTTATGTGGAAAGAAATSATTTTGTCAACAATTTTGTGGATTTGTTCAGGAAAAGGAAGAAGAGTGCCAAAAGACCCAGCTAAAGGTAAAGTCAAACTTTTAACAGATACAGATGCCAAGCATAAAAGTTATAGTATATCACCATAGACAACTTACCTTCTCTATGGTTGGGTTCTCTCATTTAAAAAATTTTGGATATTAATAGTACCTACCATATCAGACTTKTGCAAAATTTAAATGATGACTTTAAAGAAAGTCTAAGCCTGACAAGGGTCAGCATGCAGTATSTGTTAACTGATATAATTATGACTGTTCTCTCCATTTCCTGTTCAAAATATACTATACATCTCTGTTCACTTGTTTAATAAATAMCTTTTACATGCATACTTTGGGCCAGATATAGTGCTTGTAACTAGGAGCATGGGTGGTCCCAAAATAAACCCTGCCCTCTAGAACCTCAAGGTATARCTAGGAAAGCAGACAACTACATAGACAACAATGATCCAACATGGAAATCACAGAAAAGGGTGTCCTCCCTGTCTGGTAAAGTATTGTCCAAAAGCTGACCACAGCTCAGTCTTAGGGGATCAGAAATAACTCTTCAGATATAGTGAAGTCCAAGCTAAGCTAAAAAGYGAGTAAGAATGCTTTTAGAGGGAAGGGGGTTATATGGCTTTAGAGGAAGTGAAAGTGTGTGATGTGGGTAGATTCTAGAAAGCATGTCTATCCAGAGGGCTGGGTGTGGASAGAGTGGCTGAGAGGTGAGTCTGGAAAGCATTCAGGAGTCCTAGAAGCTCATTCAGGAGCTTATGTCTCTATTATTGAAAGGAGTTAAGTGGGAGAGTGCTGTAAAGTCTGGATCAGGGATAATGTTCAGAAAGTGTGTGGAAGATTCTCTTATTGGAGCTGATGAGGGAGAACTAATCCTTGAGGCAAAAACAAAATACTAACRAACAAAAACACCTGTTAAGTGGCAATTCCAGTAACATTGGAGAGAGGCGGTTGGGATTACATCTGGATGGTGGCAGGAGGAAGAGAGGAAAACAGAAATATTTCTGAGATAATTTCGAGTTCACCGTAGGAATGAATGAACAGGAATGCATTGTCATGGGAGGGGAGGAACTGAGAGGCATGGAGGATTCCTCCTGTGTTTCCGACTGGGGTGAACTATGAGGCTGTCACCCAATTGTGGGACACAGGAGAAAGCTAAGGGCTAGAGGGGATATCATGATGTGCCTGGCATTCAAGACACCTGCTGGCCATGTACATGAGCATGAGCCACAGACGTGTGGGTAGGGGAGTCTAGAATCCCCAGATGTGGGATGTCCTGCTGACAGAGTTAATCCTCAGATTTCTAGCCTGATATTTGGATGCCCTATGAAAATAGCTGCAATCACCACTGACCAGATGGAATGCAGGCAAATGGATTGTAGAATTCTAAAACTTGAGAACTCTTAGACCCTGGCCACCACRTGGCCCAGAAAAGAGCTCATAAACCTAAGGGCACACAGACCCTGACTAGCAGAGCTGGGCCCAGGAGTTAAAATCAGGCCTGCTGGATCCTCACCAAGGCTCTTGGCTTTTGAGATCTATAAGGTTCAGTCTCCCAGCAATCTCTTCCTTGTGGGATATAAGCCACCTAATCTTATTTTAAGAATTCTTTTCAAAAGAAAAGAAAAGAAAAAAAAATACAGCATGAAATTCATCTCAATCAATATGTCCAGCCAAGTACTTGCTAAAGAATTATAATATTCTATGGTTTCTTCTCTCTCTTCTATATTAAGAAGAGTTACTGACATATAGTAAGTGTCCCATATAGAGAATACCTTGAATGACCTTGAAAAATCCTATTCCTCAAAGTCCAAGAAAGTAGGCCTCACCCTCTCACTCAGATCTCTACTTTGGATTGGATAAAGGTCCTAATGAAGCTAGGCTTAAGGAATGGATCCAGCAGGCATAATTTCCATCTCCATATACATATCAACATGTGGCTCACTCAGTAATGTCGGCCCATCTTACCTTCTTCACCCATTGGATACTTGCTGCCAATTTCTATAACATACTCCACCCATCTGATTGGTCACTCAACAAATGAGAGAACAATTGAATATCACGGAGCCACCAAGCCAAAAGCACAGTGATTTCTGCAAAAAAAAAAAAAAAAAGATATTTAGTAACTTAGAGATGACAGGGCTTGATAAGATGATCCACTACTTTACACAGGGGATACATAGTTGCAGAAGACAGGATTTTCTCTTGGAAGATAACAGATCAGATGTGCAAAGAAAGATATAACCCAGTTATTACAAAGGTAGGGAAACTTGTCATGGTTTTTGAAGTACCAAAATGGTGTGATTAGTCATCTGTGCATTTGGTACTTTGATGACAAATTAGTCAAGCATTCACCATTAAAATAAAGTGAATTTCTCCTGCGTTGCTCTAGCACCAACAATAAACCTGCATGTGAACATATGAAGTCTTGAGACAATTTCTAATAGAAACAATGTTCTGATTTCAAGCCAGGCCTTCCTTTATGAAGTGGGAAGCAGTGTTCTGGAGATGTCCGATCTTTGAGGAACAACAAGCTCAAGGACAAACCGTCCTATGGTGGTGGTGACAGGCGATGTCATCCCCATTCCAGGAGACTAGAGCATTGGGCTGAAAGCGCTGCAGTATTCATCCGGGTTATGTTTTGCCTCACTACACAGTACTCTGGGTTTTCTGTGCCGGGCTGTTCTGCCTGGATCTGGTCTGATTCATCTTCAAATCTACTAAAGTGTCTAACACATTCCCTCGCCAGAGCAGCTGTTCATATATTTGTTGAATGAATGAAAAGAAGTACATGAAGTATCTAAACAGCTGTTGTCTTTAAAAATGGGGGCACTGAACCAAGAAAGGTGTCGGCTGGCGTAGCTTCTCTGACAAGAAAACCAAGGAATACTTGAATGCCCTTCATCTCTAGAGCTTCTACCTTCTAGGACCAACTCACATCTGCATGGGGAGCGTCAACAGCAACTTTCATTGATTTCATTTATCGTGCTTTTTTTTTCCCCCAAATCTACTTTTCCCTCCTCATCTTGCTTCCATCCAATGGTTCCTCAACTTCTTCCAAAATAAGCAATATACACTCTTCTTATTGAAGGACAGTAGATGAATTGTAAACCTACTAAGTTATCCTTAGCACCATGTTTCTGATAACTGTACCAAGAAGAACAATATATATATATATATATTTTTTTCTATGCTGTTGCCAAGATGTCAAGGACATAGCAGCACTGAGATTATTTATAGACACACATGAAGTCACAGAGGAAAACCACCTGGAGCCATTCACTCAACAACAGCTAAGGGATGGTGAAAGGGTCCTACTTGGCAACTACATTGCTTGTATCCAGTCCTCAAAAAGTGGCACATGCCTGTAATCCTAGTGGCTAGGGAGGCTAAGGCAGGAGGATAGGAAGTTCAAAGCCAGCCTCAGCAACTTCAGGAGGCCCTAAGAAACTCAGTGAGATCCTGTCTCTTAAAAAAAAAWWTTTTTTAAAAAGGGTTGGGGATGTAGCTTAGTGGTCAAGCACTGCTGGGTTCAATTCCCAAWACCAAAACCAAAATCAAAATAACCCCAGCAATAAACCACACACTTACTCATAACCCTGTGTAGACTCCAGGTAAATCTGAGCTGATCCTGGGTAACCAATAAAATATAGCAAAGGTGGTATTGTATGGGCCTCAGGTGAGGGTCAAAGAAGCACAGCTTCAAACTAAAGAGAATCATCCTTGCGCCCTCAGATCTAAAGGTATTTGCCTTGATAGGTTTAGATTCATTTGAACCCATCACCCTTTCTACCTTCCAGTTACTCTCTTTCCAAATGGAAGCGGCTGTCTATTTTATGTCTGCCTACTATTATATCAGAGAAGCACATAACTTCTCTGTTTCACGAGTTCACAGTTGCAGGGAAATTTTGCATCAGGATAAAYTGTATCGAGTCTCTCACCTGTACTGATTCAGATGTCATTTAGATGAGACATTGGACTTTAATGTTGAAGTTGAAAMAAGATAAGATTTTGAGAGCTATTTCATGAAATAAATACATTTTATTTGCAAAATGGCATGGGTTTTGGACTGAATATTTGTGACCTTGAAATTACACGTGTTGAGGTTTATATAAGGTCAGGGAGGTGGGGCTCCCACAATAATCCCATCATAGCATTCATAAGGAAGCTAGAGAATGAGCATGTTCTACTCTTCCTGCTCCCTCTCACTCTCGTCTCTCTCCATCTATCACTTTCTCTCTGCTTTGGAAGGATAATGAGAAGATGAGAAGATGACCACCTGCAAACAAGGAAGGAGACCCTCGACCCCAAGAATCAAATCTGCTGACACCTTCCTCTTAAGACTTCTCAACCTTCAGAACTATGAGAAATAAATATCTCTTGTTCAAGCTCCTCAACCCTTGGTATTATGTCATCACAGTCTGAACTGATTCCTAGAGAGACCCTGTGGCCTGCCTTGTGCTCTTTGAAGACTTACTCTTGGAGAAGCCAGCAGGCATGTGTGGAGTCTCAATGCTCTGAACCATCATACCGTGAGCAATCATACCCAGCCAGCCAGATGCTGCCCACCTTCTTCTGCTTCAGCCAGAAGATGAGTAAAGGTGCCATCTTGGACATTGCACCTCTTCAAACCTTTCAATAGGTCCCATCATCTAATTACCAGGCATGAGAGAAATCCTAGGAAGAGCCATCTAAATGAATTCACAAAACTCCCAGAACTCTAGGGGAGAGGTATAAATTGTTGTTATAAACCACTTCAGTTTGGAGTGTCATGTTAGTCATCAGTAGGTAACCAGAATGCTATAAACAGGGATGAAAAAGGCACTTTCCAGGGGCCTCTGCAATGCAACCACCGTGAGTATCAAAAGTCCCATTTCACCCAAACTCAAAGGGATATAATTCTTGCTGAAGGTATTCAGCCAATAGTCCCTAAAGAAGACTTCAGGGCCYGTGTTTCTGCTGTTTTCCTTCTCCAGACTACAGTCTGTCAACGATGCAGCTCTATCTGTTGTCAGCATGTTTTTAAAAGTTCTCAAAATGGATAAAAAGTGAATTGGACTCCCCACTTTGTCTTGCATTCTTTACCTCCCTGAAAAATGCTTTCTATAAAACTTCTTTCGCCAAAGCCTGCAGAACCAATGGAAAGCTTCAGAAGTAAAAGCAAAAAAAAAAAAAAAAAAAAAAAAGATGATGACAAGGATGAATCATCTGTGAATTCTCATCACTGCAAGCTTCTGCAAAAGAGGAGCTGTGAAAATTTCTTGTGCAACAAGAAGACCTTGTGCCTTAGATAGAAAACGATAAATTCAAGCATTCTAAGTTGTTCTTTGGGCCTTGGGGAGAGTTGATGGGTCTGAGAGGGCTGTGCGGGTTGGCTGTACATCTTCTCTCCGTACAGGCCTTCTCAGTTGGGACATTCACTTTCCCTCATCTTCCCCACATCTCATGAACCCCTGGGAACTGGAACCATGTGTTCCCTCCTGAGCCAAGACGCCACAGTCCAGACTTGCTGCATCTGCTTCCTGGCTACTCTCAAGATCTCCCCACTTCATTTTTCCAGGCTTGCAAACCATTACAGCCCTGGGGTAAAAAAAACTCTCTCTCTCTCTCTCTCTCTCTCTCTCTCTCTCTCTCTATATATATATATATATATATATATATATATATATATATTTTTTTTTTTTTTTTTTTAATTTAGAGACAGGGTCTTGGTGAGCTGCTTAGGGCCTAGCTATGTTGCTGAGGCTGACTTTGAACTCTCAGTCCTCCTGCCTTAGCCTCCCGAGCAGCCAGGATAACAGATGTGTGCCACCATGCCTGGCCATATCTTTCTCTTTGTGAACAAAATAAAACAAATGTTGTGGCTTATAGATCAACATGTATGGGTCCTCTTTGAGAATGTGGGCTCAGCCAAGCCAGGTGTATATCAGAATAATTGTCAACAACCCCCAAAATAAATAAATAATATAATATTATATATACATATATGTATATGTGTTCATATGTGTATGTGTGTGTGTATATATATATATATATATATATATATATATATTGTGTATGTATATATTACTGACGGTGGGGTTGGAAAACAGTCCCCTTCCATTTACTTCATGAGTGCATGCTGTAGGATCCTCAGACTTTTTTATGTCTGAATGTTCTGTGAGCTCAATCCATTATAGGTACAACAGGGATCAAAAGCTAAAAGGTTGACACCTCCATTTTACAGACAGAAAAACTGAGGCTAAGTGATAAATGTCCAATCGCATAGGGCAAGAAAGTAGCATAGTGGGTGGAGTTAGCTCATTAGACATCCACTCCTTTCTACAAGTTATAAAGATGAGACCCACTTCCCAGGGTAAATCATGCCCATCCCTCTGGGATGTGGCCAAAGATTATTTCTACTTTTTGGCATAATGACACAACAGGGAATTGAGATATTTTGAAACGGAGCTGATTAAAACAAACCATGATTAAATATTCATATTTTGCTATTGTATAATCAAGTGAAAAGCTAGGTGTTTGAAACATTTATTAGGTAAAGAAATGGAGCAGTAGCCTTACATTTTCCTACCTTCTAGAAAGATCACATTGCTTTGCTGATGTTACTCTGTGCTTTTCTTGCTCTGTAAGCAGAAGGGGATTATAGGTATTCAACAGACCCCAAGTGCCTACAGATGAGACCTTTGTTTGGGGGTTTTCACATGTTCCTAACATCATCAAAGTGATGGTGAAATCAATTAATAATCACCACTGGGTGTTTTTCTTTCCTGTTATCGCTGAAGWTCTGAAACCATATGGCGAAGCATATTTTGTAGGATAGGTTTGTAGATTCTGATTTTTTTTTTTAAATGGAAGAAGCAGATAGCTATAAAGTGTGAGAGAACAGCAGCACTTAAAATGCAGGCTTTGCCTCTTTTAAGCTAATTTGACTTTGGGCAAGCAAGAACTTTCTGTTCCTCAGTTTCCTCTCTATAAAACTTAGATCATTAACCATTTTGGAAGGTCATTATGAAGAATAGTGATAATAAATTAAACACCTCCCTTAATATAAACAGTCAAAAATCAATAACTATCATTATAAAAAGATAGACAT